ATAATGCCGCTATAACAGGATTACCGGAAACCCCATGGCACCCCGCGATTGGGCTAAGTTCTCGTGGTTGGGTCGTATAACCCCCTATACCCAGTACCAATCAACCAAAGCCAAGAGCGCTATTGTTTATGTTCGTATTTCAAAGAAGAATTTGAATTAATCTTCCAGCGCTTTCTGTAAATATCACGCATATTTCGCAGAAATTTTAAGTCGATCAATTTTTTTTTACACATACGACAACCGGGATTCGCTGCTTGGTTTTGGATAGAGGCTGACAGTGCAGCCCACCCCATTCCTCGATGACGCTTTCGCGTGCTGGGGTGAAGCGGTAAACGCACTCGGCATCAGCGAGGCGGGGAGCGGAACATGGTCAAGCCACAGCAAGGATATAAACCGCCAAATGCAGCGTTGTCACCGGCAGCTTCTCTCCCCTGGAATTCGTGAAGTGAACCAAGGCCCTCCCGTTCTCCGAGACCCTTGCACAACTCATCTCCAGATTGTAATACAAGTCGGGTCGTTTTGGCCCAAGTGTCAGTCTCACGATTCGCTTCTCGACCATCACTCTCTGGACCAACAACTTCGTCTGGTGGAACTTGTGCAGAATCTGCTGGAATTTGGTTCTCGTGGCATTGGCACCTTGCTCTTCAACTGCCTCTTGTTCCACCAAGTGAAGAGCGTCGGCCTGCTCCAGTGTGACATGGACGGAGTCCAGGTCCGCTGCATGCTTGGCATGTTCAGTGCTGGGTCCCAAAACTTGTGATAAGAGCGACGGCAGCTGGCCAAAGGTTAGCACTGCCATCGCCGCGTTGGCAACGGCGGAAGAGATCTTTTGCGGGGGTTGGGTAACGGAGAGGAGGACATGGAAGCCATTGTCTGCCCAGAGTGTAGGACAAGAAATTGGCAGCTCTCTTTCCTAGTTCATGGTTGGGATAGGATTAAAAACTTACATTTTTATTCCTTATTGGGTTTAAGTACCCATAAACATGTAAAATGTTACCCAACTATGAAAGTTTCTTCCAGCAGCTTGATGATGCCGTAGAGCGGTCCGGAGATCTGGAGATCACCCTGGAACATAGATGTGGGAAGAGCCGTCCAGGACGTGCGAAAGAAGCGCGTATAGTCGTAGGGCTTCCCGGTAAAGCTTATGACAGGATCCGGCTCGTAGGAGCCCTTGAAGTAGCTCGTGAGTCTGCTCCACATTCCCTGTTTCACAGGCTGGGGCGACTCGGCATCAGGATCTATCACCAACTCATGCATATGCGCTTCAGCCACTCCGATCTCGCTTCCACCCTGTTTAAACCATGCTCGACCAGCAAGTGCGACTGGTAAGAGGAGCGCGATTCCAATACGCGCCATGCTAGCACACTTCATATCCGACTACATAGGTCAGGGTTAACTTGGCAAACTACAAGCATGGGGTCTCGAGATACACTGCGGAGGCGCATCACAGACCAACTTATCATAGCAAGATTCGCTTTCTTCGAAGCAACAGCAACCGGAAAACGCAAGGGGACACAACCCAGAACCGCCAGCGGATGCCTGCACGCGTCGGTTTGGCAGTTCACAGAAGAAAATGCAGATGCAGAGGGGCTTTTTTGCGTTTGCAGGTTGAGGCGTCTACCCGGCACGTACTGTCTTGTTGGGTGCTGAATGAAGGGCTTGCCGTGAACTGCGCCCTTCGTTCTTGGCGAGACTCCGGCAGGGTCTTTAGTTTAGAGGGTTAGAGTTGAGGATTTAAGCCTGTGGATTCTGCTGGAAATCTTCAGGACTTGGCCACATTGCCGTTATCTAAAATAGAACTACAGAACGACTCCCCAACTTCGCGTAAGCACATCAAAGCCTTCGTAAATCCTCATTCCGGGCTATTAGGGCATTACGGGTTCAAGGTATTTCGGCACAGCCCCGACTGTCAACAAGAAGATCTGGGATCAAGTCTCACTTTGTCGGGACAGGTCCCCAAGCTGCTGGGTCACAGGCGGCCTCCGTCACACGATGGAGAGTGAAGCTTTGTGAACCTACATAGAGCTTTACACAGGCTTCTAGGGCTTCGGAATATGGCTCGGGTTTCGGGCCTTGAGCCTGGGAACAAGCTTCTCTTGCCAATTTGGTTTCTTCGTGAACATTCTTGTCGCCCTTGCTCTGAGTAGCTGCCAGCATCCACGCAGCGGGATGTCGTGGTTAGTGCACTTTTTGGCTGCCTTCGATCGCGGAAGTGCTACAGGGCACAAGCACTGCTGGCATGTGTTTGCCGCTTTGTTTCCAGATCCAACTGCGCACGTACTGGATCATCCTGATTATGTAACTAATGACAAATGCAGATTGGTGCTCGTGTAGATGAGGCGGCATCTTGCGGCTGAGAGGAAAGGTATGGAACGGTTGAATTGAATGGAGGGCTAGAGCGTTTATGTCGATACAATACCAAAAGCATGATCCTAAACCTTACACCGTCTCAGTTCTCAGCCTTTTAGCAGAAGTCATGCTCTCAAAGCCTGAACCCTTGGCGAGCTTATCACTAGCTGCAGAACCTTACATACTCGGTCGGAACATGTTGGAACCACCCCGTGCTTCACCGTAAACACTCTATCCGGCCCGACAGAGTCTTTGCGAGCAGGCCTGGGATCAACGCGTCTGTGGCCCATCTCGCTTGCCCCCACAGTCCCAGACCTTGCTTTGGGTCTGTCTAGGGATTCAGGATCTCGGCACTAAGACTTGGCCCGGTGGCCTAGGCTTAAAAGGTTGGACACGTAATGCACAGTCACGACGCATGCACAAAAGCCGTGCGCAGACAAATACGAGTGCGTGCTGCAGGCAGCGATGAATTTGGCATACAAGGCTTGACAAATGATGCAGCTAGCCTGTATGAGGCATTCCCAGTGTGGACGCCTGCCGATGCGTAAAACAACCCCAGGACCCATTACTATCATCTGGAATTAGCAGGGGTAGAAGCGCAAGAAGGGGGACAGACAAACTCGCTTTCTAATAAAATTTAATAAAAATTCTTCCCAACCTTTGCGCTCAGTAAGAGCGCCTGTTATAAATCCACTGCGTTCCCTCCAGCGCTTTTGCGAGGATTTTAACAATGCTCGAAAAGGCACAGGGCACAACTAAGACCCTGAGACCCAACTCGAGTAGCGCAAGAAAGTTGCAAACAAAGGTGTGTCACACAAACTGCAGCCTACACCTCGCCCGGGCACAAACTGCAGCCTACCCCCATCCAAGCCCAGGAAGCCGCTACGGGGCAGTTAAAGTTCGAACCTTACGCCTACTTGCGGCCTTTCACTGCAAGCAGCTCTTGTTGAATGAGCAAACAGGTAGATCAACAAATGAGCATCGGTGCAGATGTATATATACGTGAAGCTATGAATAATTATTATATATGTCTTGCACGCAGTGGGTATGCATCTCTCCGTCGATCCATCCACGCCTGCACGTATACATACATGTATACATACACACATACATGCATGTATATTTCGACGCATGTACGTATGTCAAACATGAACCAATGAGAGTTTGCATGCACAAACATACACACTCTCCCTTAGCTGTTGCGTTGTCTTCTGTTGTTCCGTTTCACGTTTTGTTTTGTTTGCATTATACTGAAATACCATGCTGGATTGGGAAGCCATCGCACGGAATAACCCAGCTACACCGCTTCAATCTACGGCCTGACGACACTCCCAGGACCTGTTCTCGTGCACACATAGAAAAGCCGAAATGAACGCAATTAGTTATTCTTGCATGTTCCGGCTTCAAAGGGATAGGTAGGGACACCATGGGATCGAATCAGCTACTGTGTCACTCTTGCGTGCACGTGACAAATGCAAAACCGAGACCCTAGCAACAGCACGTTCAACCGCAGCTCTATAGCTATCTGAAGCCCACCTATTTGCGGAGAAGCATCAATGCAGTTAATCCGTGTTTGACCCGCCATGCACGATCGGCGGCATCGCCCGTTCCGTTGTCGGTTTCAGATATAATCGTTGTTGAGTACTACGAGTATCATGAAACGAACATGCTTGTTTAGTTTGTTCCGGGAGTGAAAGAATTACCCGGACTGCACGCACTGTTGTCCAGAGAAGTGCCCCTGAATGCTCCCGCCACTTCTGCAGTGTGCAGAGTCCCATGCTATGCCTAGCATGCACAAGCCAAGGGGGAAACAACAAGCCTACATCATCCTCGATCCACAAATCCTTGACTCGACTCTCATCCGACACTCCATTCTTGAGCCCTGAGCCCCGAGTGACTTTGCTTAGATTCACGGCCCCACCCTCTTCGATCATCCGGCAGCCAGGCGCCCCACGCAATCGACCCAGGCCCTGAGAAGGCAGACCCGGTGCGCTGTTTCTACGGATGAGACGGTTGAGTTTACGAGTGGGGTTGCAGCTGTAGAAGTCGCATCAATCCTAAAACCCTCAACCCTGACACCCACCCAAGAACATCAGTCAGCTTATCTAACTTCGCAGTGTAGTGCGCAACTTTCGACTAGTCCGATCTTTGGTGGTGCCCGGGATTTAGAGAAATGCAGGCTTCGGCGAGTCGGAATCCTTGCAGCGACGGCTCTAGCAAAGTATCATATAATGGGAATTTGACGGCATCAGCACACACACACACACACACACACACGAACTCACACACACACACACATTCCACAATGTTGGCGTCATGCAGTGAAGCATGGTTGGGATCATTTTTGTATGCTGCGTCAGTATCAGGAACTTGACACAATCGTGCAATTGATTTTCATAGGCGGCAGCAGCAGCAGCAGGAGCAGGAGCAGTAGCGGTAGCTGTATATATTGCAGTGGTAGTAGTGGTCGTCGTCGTCGTGGTCGTCGACGTGGCGCTGGCGGTGGCGGCGGTAGAATTATACCCACTGTTGCCTTGGGCCTCATGACAAGCCCCTGTAACATAGCATGCCGGGTCTGTAGCAACTTGACAAACTATTGCCCAGCAGTTCAAGGCCACAAACGGCCGCACACTCACTTAAACCAAACTCCAAGTGTTTAGCCCCCGAAACCGGTCAACCGAATCACAAAGCGGACCACCAAATACGGATCGACCTGGAGGTCTTACAGAAACCAAGTAATTCTTCTGTCCTGGCTCTAGCATGTACAGAGTACTCTGAGTGTACAGTTCTCGCCAGATGCGTCCGGTAAATCCTTAACCCGAGCCCTTAAGTTGCCCAGGACGCCGACCGGCCAAGCCAAAGAACCCAAGGATTCAGCGAGTGAGGATCGAGCTTTTGAATTGGGGGGCTAGAGCTGTGCTCCGTTTAAAGTTCAAACATCAGAACGCCCGCCGGAGACAAATCCTAGGCACAGCCAACTCCGCAAGAAAAAACGAGAAAAGGCATCCTGAATCCTAAAGCACCCTAAACCCTAAACCCTACCTACAGCCTAATTCCCCCAAAACCCCATCTTAATTATTAAGGCGCCTATACTATAGTACCCCTATAGATCCATTATAGCTACCCTTTACAGGAGCCCTATTCTAATTCCCAGACAGCCCAGCTCATCTCATAGTGTGGGCGCTGGCCTCAACGCCTCGGCAATGCCTCCGGTCATCGGCTTAGCATTCGGGTCTGCTGTAGGGATCGGAAAGATTAGCAGTGATATATTACCGATATCTCGGTTCAGGGGGTTTAGGGGTTTAGGGTTTAGGAGCAGCAAGGTCTGGGGTTCAGAATTTCGGCCCAGCTGTAGGCACTTATCTACTACCCAAGCACCGTGCCCAAGCCTCCTCTTGCAGGGGCATTCTCAAGCTGCACCTCCGTTGCGGCCTGTGGAAGGCAGTTCTGAATGGACTTCACCGACTTAACCACCCGTTTAGCAACTCTGGTAAAAAGTGAAAGCACCGAAAAGGCCACTGCTTTAGGAGCTTTGGCGTTGGGCTCTCGGCAACGGGGCGATCGATTGCACAAAATCATCATTACTGCGATTTCTGGCATTATTTGTTATTGTTGTAGCTGTCATGTTTCTTGCGAACAACATTCTAGCATTGTAATTAAGTATTAAAATTAGTATTAGTACGATTATTATCCTTATTAGTAGTAGTACTAGTATGATGATGATGGTCTGATTGTTACTACTGCTGCCATGATTGCTACTGCTGAAGTGCATGCCTCGTTTGCAGCTCATGCCATGTGTACATGTCTGTTTTTCCTTCTTGCTCGTAGGCCCAAGCACAGAAAGCCTTGAGCATGCTTTTAACATCTTTTAACAGAACACATGTACCATAGTTGTAGGTGCCACGCCCAACGTAGCACTAACTTCGGTCTTTTGCTTGCGTGTAAAATCTCCGCCTCTGTGTGAGCCATGTCTGGGAGTTCTGGTGCAGGGGAATTGATCACTCCACTTGTATCTTATTCCCAGCCTGCTGGTTCACACCAGCAGGTTATGAGCCCAACGCTTGGGCAGGGCTACGGCACCACAACACAGCAGTCATCCCCACCTCCCGGGAGGGATGGTTTGCAACATGCACCAGGTTCAACGCCAACACCTGCACATGGCCAAACAGGTGGAATGGGCTTTGAACCTATGGCTACGGGAGGGGCACTTGGAGGCATAGACCAGACTGGGGTTAGCGCAGACTCAGGGGGAATGCCACCGGTGTCGACCGCCACTGAAGGCGGTGATGAGGTACAGATGGTTGTGCCGATACCCGGCAATGTCGCGCCGGGCGGGAGCCCAGGGCTAGAGGCCAGCACTGGCATGTTAGGTACCGCGAGTGGTGACGCAGAGCCAGGGGGTAGAGTAGTCGCTGGTGCTTCCACGGAGGGGTTTGTCACCCCACGGTCACAGCAGGGATTGCCAACCATAGCTGAGATGGTTGAGGGCTTCCCTGGTACAGGGCTCCAGCTTATGACGCGAGTTGGGGACTTTTTCCGTGTAGCGCGCACTGAGGTGGTGCAGGTACCCGCAGTGGCGCAAGGCACACACGCCACACCACCACGAGCAATCACATCACAATCACGTGATAGTCCCAGCGGTGTTCCAAGGCAATTGGCTCTGGGAGAAGGGAGTTTGGGTTCGCAGAGTAGCTCGCCACCACAGTTGGGAGCGCATGGTACACCCATTTCCTTTGCACCGCCTCCTGGAAGGGATGGCTCCTTGTTGAGCGCGGACATGTTGCAGCGCATGCAAGCTTTAGAACAGAGGGCCCCCTTACTTTACGGTAGCCTGCCCGAAAAACCCCCATCGAGAACAGACTCATCGTCCCTGCCCCAAGAAGCGATTCAAGCTGAGGTTGCAAGGCAGCTAGCGGGGTTTGATCAACGGGCGCAGGCTCAGGACTTGGAAATACAGAGGATGCGGAGGCAACTGGAGGAGGCGGCCCAAAGGGAACAAGCTCTTAGGGAACAGGTAAGGAGAGAAGTGGCAATGACCAGTAGTGCCCCAATGGCTCCAACGACACCCCTTGCTGAGGTTCCCAGGCCACCCCTTCAGGATGCGCAAGTGCGCACTCCAATAGCGTATCAGGTGCATGATGCTGCAGCGCAGGCGGTTGAGGCTTTGAGAGCGCCCGCTCAAACAGCAGCTTCAGCAACTTCAGGGTTATGGTCCAACTTTTGGTCGGGGTTGCAAGGTTCCCAAAGGTTACCTAGCAATGCAGCGCCACCCGGAAGGGTTGGGCAGCCAAGCAGCGCATTATTGGGTGTGCAAGGGGATTCCACCTCTTCTGGCCCAGACCCCCATTCTCGAGCCGAAAACCCGGGTTTGGGCCAGATCAGGGCTTCGGGCTCTGGTTTCCAGTCAGTTGCTGCCGCTAGTGCCCCAATTCCCCAGGCTTCAGCTGCTCAGGCCAGCACGGCGCCAGTAGGGGCAGCCAGTGTGTCGCCGGGGGGAACCCAAGGCCCTCCCACATCAGGTAACACCGTGCTTGATGCCGTATTGTTGGGAGTGCAGCAACTGCAAACTTTGCAAGCCCAGCACCTTAGCAGTAGCAGGAAGGAGGATGCCCCGGAAACGGTGAAAACGGGCATTACAACCTTTCCCAGACTAGCCCCACCCGATCCAGCTGGAGGCTCGTTGGACTTTCAGGATTGGTTGCAGCTCATTGCGGGCTTGATGAGTGACTTTTCGGATTCTTCTCAACTTTGGTGGTCAGGGGTAGTTCAGGTAAGCAAAGATGCGTACGATAAGTGGGTCGTCGCATCCCCCATCGAGCGCTTGACGCTTGAGCCTGACGAGAGGCCAGAGCTTACAGAAGGCAAGTGGGGGAGAGTGAATGCGCGTGCATGCGCAATGCTTTTGGATGCCCTGGACCCCACAGTGAAATTTGATATCATTGCCCGTAAGGCGAATCAAGCTGCATCGCAAATCCTGTTTAGATTGTACACGACCTACCAGCCCGGGGGAATAGGGGAACGCAACCTGGTGTTGAGCAACTTGCAAAATCCCCATGTGGTGCAGGATGCAGCCTCAGGTGTGTCAGCATTGAGGGCGTGGGGACGGTGGTATCAAAGGTGCATAGACTTTGGTATGAGTTTGCCGGATCCAATGGTGTTGGTGGGAGGCCTAACCTCAATGACAAAGCCCGTCATCTCTAAGGAGCCGGAGGTTTCATGGCGAACCGAGATGGTGAAAAGTGCACTGCAGTTGCATGGTCGACCCTCGGAAGAGGCGGTCAAATCCTACCACAAACATTTGTTGGCCGAGTTTGAGACTTTGGCTGGAGCTCATGTTGCCAAAAAGGGTGGATCAGGTAACCTGGCATTGAAGGCAGCTGGTGTTGCTGGGGATAAGCCGGGAAAGGGGAGTGGAGGCAAAGGTGGAGGGAATGCCAACACATGCAAGTATTTCCTTTCGCCAAAGGGGTGCAGGTTTGGAACCAAATGCAAAAGCCCCCACTCCATGAACGAGTTGTCTAAAGCGGAACGGTTTAAGAAGTGCTTGAATTGTGGCTCCGAGGAGCATCGTGCTAAGGATTGCAAGGCAGGTAAGGCGGAACCCAAAGCACCAGATCAGAAACCGTGTGCTCAACATGGAAACCTTCATGCAACAGGCAGTCCAGGCTTTGAGGCAGTTGGAGGCCAATCCACCGTGCAGCGGCACCACGCCGCAAGCCCAGCCGCCTCAACCTCAGCCGGAAGGCTTGAGTACTGCATCGCAGCAGCCCTCAGTGCCACCGGCACCGGCTGCGCCCGCATCGTCTGCACCCAATCCTTCGGTGAAGAGGCTGACGATTCGCTCAGTCGTGCCCGCAAGCTGTTTCCCGGTTTCGGGTCTCCCAAACCGGGACTCCCAACCCCCCCATCAGGAGGCTCCAACCCGGGGGTTGGGAAATGCCAAAAATCAGGGTTTGGCAAACCCCCATTCTCGAGCCGAGAATGGGGGGTTGCTTGAGCCCCCCAAACCCATAGCATATGCGCTTTTGGACTCTGGGGCCACCCATGCCATGAGGCAGGCGATGGATGAGGAGGAGTGGGAGGCCGCATCGGAAGTACAAGTGAGTTTAGCCGGCGATACCACCACAACAATGCGGCTCACATCCTCAGGTACTTTGCTCCTGCCTCCCGGGAGGGATGGCCTAGTGCAGCCAATAGTCCCAATGGGCGCAATCATCGAGCAACTTGGGTATAAATTGGTTTGGTCAGCCGGTAGTTGCAAGCTGTATCCTCCTGATGGTAAGTCGTTGAGGCTTAGGGTCAAAAACGGTTGCCCGGAATTGGTTGAGAGCCAGGCCCTCACGTTGATATCACGGTTGGAGGAGCACAAAATGCAACAGGTTGAGGAGCTCAGGCGAAGGACGGATGAGGGGAAGGATCGCATCAGACAAGCGAAAATCGCGATGCAGCGCACATGGTGGGATCATTTGGTTGAGCATGTTAGCTCGTCAGCGCCAGCAGCGGGCCACATGGCAGTATCCACGGCGCCATTCTTTCAGGATGTGCCCGATCGTGCATTGTCAGGCCTACTCCCATCGGAAGATGTGGACTCCAAGACTTTGTGGAAAGCTCTTGAAGAAGGTATGCCAAACCTCAACCGGCGAAGGAGGAAGGCACTTCATCGAGCATCCAATTGGGTTGTTCACTTGTTTGCGGGCCCTGGCTCGCACAAGGCTTTCAAACGATTGGAGTCGCAGGATACAGTTGTTGTTGAGCTTGACATTTGCCGCTCAAGGAGCCAAGATCTTTACCATGATCCGCTTTGGACGCTTCTTGCTAAGGTTGCAAAGTTGGGACGAGTTGCGGCGGTCATTGGAGGTCCACCAACCCGCACGTGGTCCATGTCAGGGCACCGCGCCGATGGACCACATCCACTCCGCTCGCCCACTGAACCGTTTGGCCTGAGCACTCTCACCTCTGACGAGCGTGATCTCGTTGATCGTGATACGGGTTTGTATGCTCGCATGTTGTGGTTGCATGCACTTTCCACCGCCGGGAGGCGTGTGCACCCTAACCCGTCGGATGGAACATCCATGGTGGCATTCATGTTGGAGCAACCGTCGGTTGAACACCACATGGCTTCAAGCCATTCTGCTGTGGGTAGCGCCCCGTCGTTTTGGAATACCGCGCTGTGGCAAACTTACGCTGAAGAGGCTGGTTTGTTTGAGGTGCATTTCCGTCAAGGTCCGTTGGGGCACGCGGGCGATAAACCCACAACTGTTGGCACCAACTTGCCCGACCTTAGAGACTTGCAAGCGTTTCAGGGTGAGGTATCGCAGGTTTGTGGTAGCGCCGACAGCCGTGTGTCTCCAGTGTGGGCGCCGGGGTTTGTGCAAGCCATCGTGTACGCACTCCAACGTTGGCCCTGTTACCGCATCATGAAATTCACCCAA